ATTCTAGCAGAAAATACAACCTAAAGTAAAAATCCTTCTAATTAAAAAAAAAAAAAAAAAAAAAAAAAAAAATAAAAAAAAAAAAAAAAAAAAAAAAAAAAGGAAAGGAAAGTATTTTAGTCATAAGCTCAGTTTAGGCATACATATATGAATTCAGTAGTAAAGCTAACAAATGCAAGGGGTTAGCGTAAGGTATTATCAAAAAAGTAAGAAATAAAAGCAAAGAAAGCTAAACTACTAGAGGTTGGGTGCACTGTGGCCTTTTGCTTTGCTATTGCATATTTTTCCACAATACATTACAGTGGAGAGAACGCGGTATGTAATCAGAGCAGAGGTGTAAGGAATGAAGGCCATGCTACGCTTTTTCTGAAAATAATGTAATTTCTGCCTGACTGGTAGGCGTGCTGTGGAGCTTAATTAAAGTTTATGAAGCACATCAAGATCTTTGGATAAAAAGCACAGTACTGTGAACTTGGAAATTTGTGGTTTTCAGCACTAAAGAGCGGAAGACTAAGCTATAAATGCTTTTTTCTTGACATGTTATCATTGTTTTGAGTAGCATTAATTCTGTATGTGGACCCGCAAGGAAATACAAAGGGGCTTGTGATGTTTTGGTTTTATTACCATTTATGTGAGGGTGAATATTTGTAGTGATATGGAAGGCATTGTTGGTCTGAAATGCCACAGTAACCTTCTCTTTGAGTTTAAAATATGCATTTACTCCATAATTTATTTCATATTCTGTTTTCTTATCCCTTTCAAAGCGTGTCATTGAAATAAATAATCAGCATTATTATTCATAAAAAATTTATATTAGGCTGCAGCAAGTTCTCAGATGTCATTTTTCAACTCATTTTAAAATATTCTCATTTTCTTTTCTGGATATATTTTGAAAGGCTTGTGCAGCAGGGAAGTTGCAAGAATTACACGTGACTGAAGCCGTGTTTGTTTATGTTTTTATAAACAAATCATACAACACAGAGTGCAAACAGGTAGTCCCACATACATTAGCCTGAGTGTGCAAACTCAGGACGTAACAAATAGTTCAATGTGTTCAAGAATCAATAAGCCAAGCATCAATTTTATATGACTCATCCCCTATACAAACTTGTAAATGCCTTGGGAATAGTTTTGTTCAGTGAAGTGAGTTTTCTAAGAAATATGAATCAGAAGACCATCTAACTACACATACATATCTCAGCCGAGACTGTGGCCTTTCATCTTTATTTTCATGTTCTCTTCTTTCTTTTCCCTTTAGAATCAATAAATGAACTTGGAGAAATTTCTGCCTTGCTTAGCAAGTGTAGTTTCTGCAAATCATTAAGCATACTCAAGGTGTAAATCAAAGTCACATTTAAAACAATGGCCAAAGATCTTAAAAACCTTCCACACTCCTGACAACAGTATCTGCATCTGCTCATATGCCAGGAAACAGATAGATTAGAATCGAATAGAGTACGCTGAAGTTACACAAAAAACTATGGAGAGAATCAAAGAGTCCATCAATGACAACTCTGGTGTTTCTGGTCAAGCCTCTAAGTGAATCTTTTGATCTCTTATTTTTTACTCTGCCTTAATTTAGCATCTTCCCTAGAGCTTTGTTTGTTTCAGTATTTTTGTCTTACCCTTTCAAAATTCCTTAGGATCAATGATACCATTAGTTCTGTATTTGTTTTCATTCTCTTATTTTATTGTGTTTTCTTCCCAGTATTTGTCTTCTTGTGTTATTTGCCATTTCCAGCATTTGCCTTGTTTTATTATCTGTGGCTTGTTAGGCAGCTCATATTTCCAGTACTTGTCATTTCCCTTTGCATTTAATTTCAGTTTTTGTGACATGCCTTTTCTTCTTCCCATGACTCATAACTCATTTGCTCCCAGTGCTTCTCCAAATGGCTACAGGACAGATTCATGGGTTATCTGGAAGGTTGCAAAGTCCAGAGAGATGGCCCACTGTTCGTATTAGCCTATATATTCTTGATTTTATCTGAAAGGCAGAGGGGAACGGAATAATTTAATGCATTAGACAATGCAGCTTTCTGACTTTGACTAGCATTAAATTATTGTCATTGGACAATATGTCTTGATACATTTCTCAGTCATTTCAGAAAGACCAACTAAGTGTTTGATATATGAATATAATCAGTAATGATTTTCAAAATACTCATATGCCATTATTTTACATAATTAAGAAAAGGACACATTTTAAAATGCATTCTCCATTGTGCATATTGCCAAATAGAGTGTAACTAAAGTATACAAGACTTCCGGTTTGCTTCAGAAAGAAAATAAGGGGGATACTTACGTATAAATAACTTTTTGTTATGTATTACTATACATTGTGTTGCTTTAAAGGCATGTATTGTGATGCTTCATAAGTCTAATGTATATTATATGTTTTCTTAAGTATTTACGGCTACATTCAGTATGAACAAAACATGGAAGGAGAGAATTTACAATGAAAAATGGCTATCTGAGTATCTTATAGAAATCCTTAGCTCCTATATTGTCTTTTCTTAACTGCCCACTATCTATTTGAAAGGTAGAGGCGGAACAAGGAGTATGTTAGTGAAGAGCAGGAAGATGTAGACGTCCCCAGTGCTGTTGATGATCCAGTCTTCTGGTGGAAGGGGCAGTCATCAGCTGTGCACCACACCAAGAAAGCAGGTGGTGGGGTTTGGGTGCTCAAGGGTGATTTGTGCAGAGTTTCAGTTTTTTTAGCTTGACTGCATCTGTGTTTTGCTTCAATGACTCAGGAATGGAGATGCCTGAGAGCTCTTGGTGTTGGCCTACTGCTAGCTCTGCCAGCCCTGCTGCTTCTGTAGACTCCTCTGCATTCCTGAATTCTCTCCACTGCAGTCTTTTCCCTTCTTTTCATTCACTCCAGAATAGAAAGTGAGCAACAATCTGTGCCCCATGTATCAGGTGACCCCTTGCCTTTTAAAACACTGTTGAACTTGTGCTCTCTCCACCGAATATTTTGTTCTTACATTAAGAAACATGAGCAAGCCTAAAGTCCTTGGGATGATACATGTCTGAACTCTGAAACGTCTGCTTTTTTTCTCCTCTCCTACTTAGAAATAAAACATCAAGCTGCTCGGCCCTGTACCTGGTGTCATTTTGACATGTTTATTCTGATTTCAGAAATTTTTATGAGTACCAGCAGATGTCACTGCAATCAAAAGAAAGTTCCTAGGGGATTTTCATTATGAATAAAACTGCTTTCTTAACAAAATACAAATGATAAGCCATTGTTATTTCTAGTATTACTCCCAATTTTTTTTTTTTTTTTTGGCAGATCAAATCGTTGAGAGGATGAAATATCCCTCAGGAAGGAATTCAGGATTTAGGTCCAGGTTATTAACTTATCCTGAAAGTCAAGTAGTTAGAAATTTCTCAGCAAAATGTGTTTTCAATTGAAAAAAAAGAAAATGATTCATTGAAATAGTTTGTTGAAGTATGATTCTGTAATGAAAAAGTTGTTATTAAAAAAACCCACCCCAATTTCTCCAATGTACAGTAGAGCCTGTTCAACATTAGAAAAGGAGATCCAAGGCCAAAATACTTCAAACTCCTTTGATTAGGGGCTACACTTTAAATACAGAGGACTGGATGATCTGAGTAATTCTTCCTTGCTTTACAGACAGTATGTACTTGAGCCCATCTCATGGAACAGGAGAAAGGGAAAAAACTCAGTAATATGGGTGAGGTGAAAGAGAATCTTTCCCTTCAACTCTGACTGTGATACCTTTGAAAGGACAAACACTTTATGGAAAAGGATAATGTCATAGTTACGGTTGAGTGCTATATATTTAGATTCTCTTTGCACTTCTGCCAATGACTTTGTATTTGATATGGAAGACTTATTTCCTCCATACTGCATTTTTCTTACCTTCAAAATGAGGATAATACCTACCTCAAGGAATCCATGAAGATGAATTTATTAACTTTTCTTAAGGAATATGAGATCTCAGAGGATCATGTGAGTGATAAACTTTACTGATTCTCCCACTCCTGTGTTACAGAAAGTTGCATTCAGCAAGAACTCAGTGAAAGAATCTTTTCCATTTCCCCTTGTGAATTTTTGTGCAGATTTGATGTTTTGGTGTGTGAGTGTATGGCTATTATACTTTGAAATGACATTACGACATTTCAAGGTTGTTAGTAAAAAAAGTCAGATCTATCTATCATATAATATGTAATATTTCAAGAGCTGTCACAGTAGAAATTTAGATCTCTGTTAAAGGCTCTGTTAGGTTCAAACATGCCAAATGATTTAAACTTCTTTTTTTCTGTCTACATTTCACTCAATGTGTTTACCTTTCTGTAGGCGATTACTGAAAGAGATATTTGAACCCTGGGATGGTAGAATTTAATCAAATGCCTGAAGCATGTTATTAAGTAAATCTCTGTGTTTCTCTCAGTCATTCCTGTTGGACATACTCCACCTCACACGGATTACTGCATTATCTATTTGGAGAGAGCATAAGGGGAGATGACTTAATAGTCCAGAGAGCAGAAAACCTGCTGGGTATGTGGGAGTGTGAGGTTCAGATCCATAGGCTGAAATAAGCATAGCAAGTATGTCATGGTTGGATTCTTACTCCCACTTGCCTGCCTGAAACTCTCTTAAGGTCAGAGAACATCTGTCTTCCGTCTGAGTTTGGCCAGATGAGCCTTGTCCTTTGAAAGCAGCCTGAGCGCTTCTATTTCCACACATCAACAGTTTCTGAAAACAATTGTTTCATCGCAAAATTGTCTGCCAGTTTTACTTCAAACAAACCTACTCTGCAATGAAAAATCTCAATGGTAGAACATACAGGGAGTGCCTTGCTGAACAAAAAGTACATTTGTTTAACTAATTGTCTCCATTGCCCAACGCCATCGAGGTTAGAAGTTCCTAGTATGTGGATGGAGGGTCATCATGGAATCATGTCAAACATTAAAACTGATGAATGCATCATTTTTGTCTTACATTGTATTTTCATGAACAGCAACCACTTTCCTCCAGGGACCTGCTTTTCAGTTAGAGGATATGAACCATACCCACTGCAGCAGAGAAATTGCTGAGTGAAAAGAGAGACGTTCCATGGACAGTCATGGCTTTTGCTGGCAGCACTTTATTGTGTCACATGCCTCACAGTGTAATGGTGTCAAAATATGGGCACAGAGAGAAGAAAAGCATTAAATAGACCGACATGAAGCACGGAGTAGCTGTGGTTTTCACACAGGTGAATATTTGGCTCTTTGTCAAATGTAAGTAATATTTGTATTGGCTATGAAATTAGACTGTTGCCGGACTTGGGCTAATAGAGGAAAAAGGGCGATACAAAATACACCTACTCATGGCAAAAGTGAAAAAGATGCTGCTGCAGAGAGCAGTAGATGTAATAACTGATATTGTGCTTAAGCTCAGACTTTGCTGCAGCAGCTGCCAAGGTGTTGGTGTTGGAGTTAGAAGGTGTTGGAAAAGCTCTGGAACTACAGAAACTGTAGTTGGCTCTCTACCATCCCGTCTTCTCAGCCGAAGGAGTCTTTGCTCCTGCCAGTACAAAATAGGTCCTGCATTGGTTCTGAAACAAAACAGCAGTACTGAATAACAATTAAATTCACTTTAAAAATGCAACTCAAAGCAAATGAGTGAGCAGCTTACCTGGAGTCTGTTCTATAATTGCTTTAAACCACCAGAAAGAATTTCACAGAGTTCAGCAGGTGCTGAATCAGGTCCTTCACAGAAATGAAGATATGACTCTGTTTTATGGGCTTCAGTAAAACCACAGCCAAAAAAATGTAAGAGCTATTGAGTTATAATGCCTTAATAATGGTATCTTACTTTGCAATTGGAGGAAACTGGGAATGTAGTCTCGCAGATGTGAATGCCCTAAAGATACAGTTGGGTAGACACTATAGACATAAGGTAGACACATCTATGGAACTTATTGTTCTCGTTTGGACCAGGAGCAAGTTTGTGAATTCCCCTGCTGTCCTAAAAAGAGTTCACACTGTGAAATGGTCTTGGAGCATGCAGACTGAATTTCTTTTTTTTTGGTGAAACTAAACTGAATTAAATGCTGCAGGAAGATGCCTGCACTCCCACTGCTAATGGGTGTTGAATAAGCCGGATCAGACTAGATCTCATTTTCAGCAAAATCTTTAAGGTTGATGTGGACATCATGTACTTGGCACCAATCCTTCTACCTCCCAGATTCTCTCCTTTTGAAACATGCCACCTGCTGAAGTAGACATAGCTTAAATAACTTAAATTCAGTAATTTGTCTCCTATCCAAGAGGTGTTTGCAAAAGAGACCTGACCACCTATGCATGCATCAAGGTCTGTGAGAAGTCAGCTTTCATTACACCCTACTTTTGTATTTGTGTATCCAGTCTTTATTTGTGGCATGTGGAAGCAAACATTCCTTATTACCTCTTATTTTTCTCTGTGCTTATTTATGTTGTGATAAATGTAAACCCTTTGTAATTTTGTAGAATGAGCAGAGGCAGATGCTGCTACAACCTAGATGATGTTTTCTGTCATGTCATTTCCATGCATTGCGTGAGTACCCCCTGCCACTTCCCTCATTGTCTGGTGAGTACTGCTTTTGCTGTTGTGAGATTCATTTATTAAGAACAATTTTAATGACTAACACTTATTAACTTCAGTGATTCATCATCAGTTGTCTTCCATAAGTCTGCCTTCCAGAAATCAGCCTTTTATTCCCTAGGCTGATTCGTACAACCATGAGATGACAAAGCAGTGAGGCCAGGAACATAGGCCTGAGAAGAGTGGTACCCTGAAAGTCAAAATTAAAGTAGAGGACAAGTGTGGCACTTGAGGAAATACGATTTGTGAGATGATGCTACCTGTGTAAGTAGCCTGCTGCTCAGTGCTCTGCCAAATGGAATAAGAAATTCCCACTTATCCCCATGTCCCAGTATTTAAAGGGTGGCTGCAAAGCAGATGGAGACTCCCTTCTTACAAGGAGTCACATGGTAAAGACAAATGGTAATGGGTAGTAAGGAGATTCCAATTGGACACAAGAGGACAATTTTTCACAGTGAGAACCATCAGGCATTGGAATAATCTCCCCACGGAAGTGGTAGATTCCCCAACATCAGACACTTTTAAGACTCAACTGGACGGGGTGCTGGGCCATCTTATCTGGACTGTGCTTTTGTCAAGGAAGGTCGGAGCAGCTGATCCTTGAGGTCCCTTCCAACCTGGTATTCTATGATTGTATTGTTCTGTGAACTGATAGATCAGGTCAGAAGCAAAGATCCTACCTATGCCCCGAGTCCCACTTTCCCAGATGTGAGAAAGGAGGAATATCTCCAGAAATACAAGTTTATTTCTGCCTCTAGCCTGTGTTTAATGAGCTCCCTTGTTTGTTTCTGTATTTCTGAAGGGATGGGAACTCTTCTATTGGACCTCTTTTTAGCAGAACATGGTGTATAGCAGCACCTGACAGCATTGCTTGGTGGACTGAATGCACAAAAAGGCCAATTACATTGATTCTGGAATAGGTATGGTTTTCTGGATCTTTTGCATTCTTAGGAGGTACAAACTTGTTTTTTTCTGGAGAGGATATATAATAATGAAAGCTCTGGTTAGAGTTGGAAACGATGCTAAAGATAAGCTCTTTAATAAGGTCTTTTAAAACTGATGTAACTACCATGAAGAAAATAGCAGAAGGAGGTGTTACCAGTTTTCTTTGAAGAGGCATCAAAGCTTATAAATATGCAATGAATCAAAAAAAAAAAAAAGAGATGTTAGCTTCTTAAACAGAAATGCTACTAGTCTCTTGCTAAGACAAAGCTAAAACAACTTCTGAAATAAAAGAACGTATATCATCCTTCCACCCATGCTACTGTCCGACCTGACTGTGACTTTAGAGGAGGTCACTTGCCTGGGATTGAGGTAAGTGGCTCTTACACTTTAAAAAAGAGTGTTTTGATATCAAGATGCCTGTGTGCTAAGCTGGGATTGCTTCAGAAAGCCTGAGTTACATTCTGTACCTGCTGTTCTGCTCTTGGGAGCTGTGAGCAGGAACAGACGGTGACTCAACTGCCTTTTCAAGATACTGTTCACAGTAACACTGCATGACATAAGAAAACAGCAATAAAATAATCCATACCCTCTACACTGTAATCTTCCTACACACAGTTCAGCACTCTCCAGTTGTTAGCCAAACACAGCTGTCTTCTTCAGACTTCCTCTGCCCTGCCTGTCCATATTGGGGGAAGTTGCAATAGTTTTATGACTGCACTTTAGTCCTGAGATCAGTCATCAACATACCTGCTGACAAGCTAAATTTGTATCCAGATTTGACACGTAAACGACCACAAAGCTCGGACATATGGATTCAGTCAGGGTCTCCATCTCAGCTCGGCACCAGAAAGTAAGCAAGTTGAGGTATTTCGGACCGCAGTGAGCACTTCTAGCCCATTTCAGGGCCGAGTCAAAGCGAGCTTTTGAATACCCTTGAAGGTGGCTTAAAGCACAGCTGAGCAGAAAAACATATGTACCTGTGCACGCTTGTTTCAGCTCCAGTGACAGGGCAATAAACTAAAGTGTAAGAAGTGATATTTAGTGTCATTCCTGCTTCATTTAATATGTTCCTACGTTCTGCGATGATGACTAGCCTGTTGATGTTGGCCTGGTTCACATGCAGTCAGCCACCAGATCTCAGGTGGGAGCTGTGACTAATGAGTGAGATACAGGAAAGAATAGCTATGGCTCTCTGCACCAGCATCCTGGTGAGGTGAGGAGGACGGTGGATCAGCGTCATGGCTGACATGCTGGCTCACTTTTCCTGGTAAACCCACACCCATCCTAAACTGGGGCATTTCCCATAAAGATGCTCTGACTCAGCATCGCATTTCTGTGATACCTCGGATTCGTATTCAGTTTCTTTCTGAAGCAGCTGCTGTCTCAGGAAGTAGCTTAGCCTTTCTTACCCCCAAATCTCTTCTCTTGAGGATTCTTTTGAACCTGAGGACAAAGACCTTGTTCTCAGTTCTAATTTCCTGGGAAAAGTTAGTCAGGTATACATTTTCCCATTAATCTCCCAGATGTTTAGTATGTTCAAAGGGTGGTTTGTTTTTTTTTTTAATAGAAACATTGTATCTCTAGATGGTTTATTTCTTGCTTATTATTTCTACCTGGCCATTTGCACTTATCTCCTCATAATCATATAGGAGTCTCTGGTAAAGCAACTGAATATTCAGATGGCACATACAACCCTCACAACTTAATAAAGTGTAGGTTACATGCTATGTGCACACCATTACTTTATACTTCCAGTTGTGTAGATCCTTTCAAACATGCAACTGTGGCAACACACCTTCCTATGAATTTTTCAGTTATATCCAGTATGGATGTGACTTTTAGTAAAAAATAATTTATTAATTAAATTTTAAAAATCCTTTACATTGAGACGTTTCCTGAAAAGAGCCTGTTTCCTGAAAACAACAAAGGTGCTTAACATCTAAAATAATTATTTCTTCTGACACATGGAAAAAGATGTCTAGAAGCTAGCTAATCAAAATAGAAATACATACCTCTAGAATTCACAGAAAATTCAGGGCAGCATAATGCGAATTCTCCCAGCATTCAGTATTGATTATTATGCTGATATGGACATAAAAATAGGAGGATGGCTGGAAGAGACAGTCTGGGTCATGGTCTGTACACAGTCTGGTTCATGTAGGTCAGAATACCCAGAACTGTGGGCAAGGGAGGAAATACCTCTAGTCCAAAGAAATACCTCTAACCAAAAGGTTACAGAGCCTCCACCTGTACCTAATACCCTGGACTGCAAGGAATCTCCATCACTCTATACTGAATTTGTAGTCTTATACAGGACAAAAGTCACAGCTGTGCCACGGAAAGCATGAGTGAGAAACAGAGAATATTTCCAATCTCTGTACTATCATAGTATGTGTTAAACAAAACTTGCCCAAAGACTGATTACTTTTCTCCCTGTACAGAAAGGCGAGGGAAAAAAGACTTTTTAAGTCAAACTTGGGAGAAAGACTGTCTCCTGATCAATACCTTCTTTAACCCTTAACACCAGCCTGGAGCAATATAATTGCACTATGACCCTCAAATGTATCCTGTAAACTTCTTCCCAGCAGCTATGGCAAAACTTTTCAGCTTCAAAGCTGAAAGCAAAACCTGCCTCCCCTAGAAACTGGAGCATTCACCTAGGGAAATCCTCCTTAGCCTCCAAATGTGACAAGTAAAAAACCCTGAGAACACATTATAAATGCAATACAAGCTCATAAAGATCCAGGTACTTATGATATATCTCTGCCTACATAACACATGACATGTGTGAAATTTGATTGCTCGTGCTTGCAGCCCAATTCAGAAGCTTAAACATGGTCACCTAATGCCATTTGAGATGCTGTAACTTAGCTGAAAAATGTGCACAGGTGTGGCAAATATTACCCAAATCTCATAGATTAACTTCTATGGGCTGGCAGCTGGAGCCCAGAAGCAGCGTCCCAGGACATGGCACTAGTTACTTCTCCCTAGGGAACTGAAGTAAGACACTAACTTCCCAGCCCCATATTACTCTCTTATATAGCTCTTTACATACATTTACTTAAGTTCGTCTTAAAAATTTAGCTTCACTTTCTCCTGTAGCCTATGTGGATATTCCTAAAATTTTACTCCTCAGATATTAGGAATTGCCAGAATAGATACATTAATGAACACTTTAAAGTAGTTTGATTTTATGCTAGTGCTTCTATTTAGCTTGAGCCTTGATATTAATCTAAAGACATATTTCTAGAGTCTCCATATTCTCTTCCACCTCTTATTTTGCTTGGCTAAACAACCCAATCCCTGCAAGTTCTCATTGTAGGGCTTTCTCTTACTTAATCTTATTGATCATTTCTGCTCCTCTTCCAGTTCAGTTATATCTTTCTTGAGCATAGATGGCCAGCCCAGTTCATGATATTCCAAATGAGGCCTTACTAGTGCCTTGTTGCAATGGCACTTCTGCAATTCCCCATGGCATATTGGTGTCATGCTGTGGGCCTTTTAGCATAAGTGGTCACTCAATTCTGGAAACGTTTTATACATTTTACGCACTTAAAAATGATAAATCTGAGGGACAAAGCATTTAACTTGCAATTTCCATAGAGATAGGAAGGTCAATGTAGGATTTTTATGCAGACAGGAAGTTTTACATGGACTGTTTCTTTTGTCTTTTGTTCACTTCCCCATTTCCTCACATGCTGCCAAAGTGATTTTCCATCAGCGCTTTGCTACTTTACTGTAAACAGCCTTTTAGTTCTTCAAGCTCTCTGTATATCAGTAATCGAGGACACTTTTCACCATTTTTTGTCTGTTAGTAAGAAAGGAAGATTTATCTTCGTCATGTATGATTTTTTCCCTTAAATACAGTCAACATAATCTGCTGGTACATGTCCCATGTAGGTCAATTGCCTAAAGGGGCTTCTGTCAAGGTCTCAGACCATTATCAAACCACCAGCGGGCTCTAGAGAGAAAGAGCTGTCACAGTATGCCATAAACCTATGTGAGTTTAAATGATGCATCTGTACATGATATGTGATTTA